TTTTTTACATAGTGCATATTGAATACCATGACTGTATTTGTTCACCCTTTCTCCCTCCATTTCTGTGCCTTGCTTTTGCCCCCCACCCCACAAAAAAACCTATAAAGACAAAAAATACCAACAATAACAAAAAAATAAAAACAAGAAAAAAAAACCTTGTTCACCAACTGAATTAAACCCAAACTCTCAACTGTCCTACAATGTTCTGCATGCTGTGGTATGTGATATTAGCACTGGGACTCTGCTTCTTGTGTAAATTTGGTGAGGACATTAGGTGATGTTGACCTCAAAGGACAACATCCCTTTAGAGTGCAGACTGCTTACCTGGAGTGAAATAAGAACAAACATCCCTGGTGTGTTTGACCATGCTAAGGAAGTAAGCACCTTACGTTATGACATATCGTTGATGGCTGAGGATGAGAGGAAACTGTAGGGACAGATGGAAACAGAACAAAAGGAGCCACTTTGGATAGAATGCACCTCTGCATGTGTCCTAAAAGATTGTCCTTTAACACCCTGGATCTGGACAATGTGAAGGATTCAGCGCTCTCTTATGATTTCTACTTCTTTTCAGAATAATCTTTCTCAATAAATAGCTTCATTCATCTCACCAAGCACCTGCTGTCTTCCTGACCTGCCAGCACAAGGATCTGTGAACCACCAGATTGACCTAGACTTCCCAAAAGAGAATTGTAATGCTTGTCTCTGAGAATCAAAGAAAAGGATTGTGTGTATGTGTATGTATATGTACACGTGTAAATATCCAGAAAGAGAGCTCTCTAAGTTTTTCCAACTTAGTATAAGGGTCTAAGGAGTTTGACTGCTCTGATTTTGTAAAAACAGAATTGCTTGGCAAAAATCTAAGCCAGGAGAGGGCACAGAAGTGGCTGTATGTGAAATCAAGGACCAGTGTTTAGGGCTATTGAGTTCATCAGGGCCAAGAGAGAACCAAATTTCAGCCTTCATCATGGTACAGAAAGGAAATTCTGTGTGAATGTGGAAAACAAAATGTCTTCAGAGGGGCTCTTTCAGGTTAGTGGGCTAACCTGAAATTACACCAAGTAGCTTTAAGCTAGGTTGTTGCCAATTTTCTTTTATTGTACCTATTTCAAACTGGAGTGCACTAATTTGAGTGGGAGGGTATATGACTGCTTTGATGAATAATCTCAACCCTGGATTTAGGGATTTAAAATATAATGCCTGTGCATAACTTCAGACAAAATAAATCAGAATCTCTGGGAGAAGGATTCAGAAATTGTTGGTTTTAGAAAGCTTTCTAGGCAATTCCAGTGAACTGAGATGAGAAAGAGTTGGGGTTGACAGGTTGCAATTCCTGGATATAACTGTTGATGGCTAGATGGTGTTAAAATATGAAGAGCCAAAGCACCTTTCAAAGGGTATAATTAGCTTGTCCTTTGGTTGGTCATGAGTTTAACTTGTTACCACTAGTTAGAAACTAAATTTTGCAGCTAAAACACAACCAAAATCACAACCAAGCTGGTACATGAATAATACATTTAGCTGTGTGCTTTAGTCATATGTGAAGGATTCACAGAATAAAAGTCCACTTGAAGTACCCACTCATAGTGGCTGAAGGTTAAGAAGGTTTGTGGTGGCAATTTAAAGGAAAGGCATAGCATCCTGGGACATGAACACTCAGAACTAGGAATCCAACATGAAAGGACCAAGATCACTCTCTCAGTGATCTCTCGGTTACCCGACCCTTTATCTGTTCTTCCTGTTACCTGATCCTTTATCTGTTCTTCCTGCACTTCTGTTTCATTCCTACACTCCAGTTGGCTTTTCTGTGGTTCTGTGTTTCCTCTAAGGTCCAATGTTAAAGCACCTTATTGCCATCTACCAAATCCCAAGCCCAACACTGGGATGTTAAAGCATCTTCAGTTTAGATTTTCAAGAGAGAGAGGAATCTATTCACCACTCTTATCAAAGGGTGGATGATCTTGTGTAACCTTATAAGGAGGTGCCACCCTCCTCCCAGAAGCTAGGCTGGATGTCACATGTGATTTACAGAATGAGTATTCTAGGAGACCACTGGACCACTATCCTTCTATAAAAGCTATGATTAAAGACCTCATTTGTTCTTAATCTGATTAGTAGGAAAATATATAGTCAATATACCATCCCAGTAGTTTGACAGTACACCTGACAATTCTGAAATAAAATTTCTGGCTCTTATGTCAATCTTGTACTGAAATCCCAAATCATTCACTTCAGAAACGTAAGCATTCAGCCAAGTTTTTGGATTCATAACCAAGGTGGTGTGTTGATTTTTTTCCAAATTCTTCAAAGGGAGTGTAATCTCATTTTAGAGTCCAACACCAGCTATTGCAGTAGAGAACTGAACTGCCTTATCTATGCCTTTCTCATCTGGTTAAATCCAGATTCCCCAAGACATGGAGGCAGCCGTAATGTGGGCTTGGAGGTCATGTTGAACAGGGTAAGCCTGTTACACTTATTATTATAACTGACCCATGGACAATGAGTAGTTTTTCTCTTCTTTTTCTCATTGAGTCCCTGAGGCCAGAGGCAAAGTGAAATCAGGAGAGAGGGGTGGGATAAACACCAATAATAAAAGTTCATTTTCACTTTGCCTAGACCACGGACTCCTGGAGGCCGTGACTATGGTCTCATACAATGCCATAATGCAGTATGCAATCATTTATTTTATTTTTTATTAATTATTATTTATTTATTTATTTGCGAAAATACTGTACAGAGGGGTTACAATTACATGGGCAAGATGATGAGTACATTTCTTATCAAGCATTGTAGCCTCCTCCTTTGTTTCCCCTTCCCATCCCTTCCCAGCCTCCCCCCTTCCCCCCAATCCTCCTCCCCCACCCCACCAAAGTTGTAAAGTTCATTTTTCCACATAAAGACTTGTACATCTCATTGTTGGAATGGATCCACCTGTATCCCTATTTAAACGATTTGTTTTTTCCCTTCCCCTCCACAAATTATACCAATCATTTATTTTAGATACTTACATAGACTAAACTACTTTAGCTTTTGTCCAAGTGCTATGATTGAATATTCTGTCTGATTTTTACTAACAAAACAAAACACCTTGAAACCAAAAGGATGATTTATCTAGGCTGAAAATAAAACCTCCTGCCTACTGAAGTCTGGTGCAGCTGAGTTATCACTATTTTCATCCTGTAATTTGTTTTATAGGGTACTAATTAACAGGGCAAAGTCTGTTGCCAGGAAAGTAAATCACATTTTGCTGTTTTCTTCTTTTCTAACAAGACACAGACCTTGTTTTTAATTAAAGGGCAAGTTCCAAAGGCACTATAAGCTACTGGAATCAAGAAACACTGAGCAGAGACGCAACAGCTGCTATGTAGGGCTCAAGAAATATACTAGGAGTTAGAATTGCACTGACAACCTTGGAAAGAAGAAATTCCATTCCTCAAATGCCCTGGCTATCCTTTCTATTCATTTTTCCTCTAATCTCCCACTGCATATATCTCCTGTTTCCACTCAACTGACACAAGCACTATAAAAGTTTTTGTGTGTATGTGAGCTGGCACTGGGGCTTGAACTCAGTGCCTAAGCGCTGCCCCTTGAGCTGTATTTGCTTAAGGTTGGCGCTCTACCATTTGAATCACACCTTCACGTCTGGCTTTTGGGTGGTTAATTGGAGATAAGAGTCTCATTTACTTTTCTTCCCTGGGCTGGCTTCCAACGTAATCCCCAGATCTCAGCCCCGAGTGTCTAGGATTATAAGTATGAGCCACCAGAGCCCAGCTTATAAATAGTCTTTTAAAAAGGCAATGTCTTCCTCCAACTCATTTTTGTCCCTCACGGGGAACTCTTTTCTTCCACGAGGTAGCTACTGTCCAGTCGGATGCCCCCACCGCAGCCTCCCCTTCTCTGAAGCTGCTTTTTGCACCTGGCCGCTTTTGGTGAGTGTCCTAAGCGCTTCCTCTCTCACCCTCGGGGCGGGGGAAGGTCTTCTTCAGCCTCCACCCCATTCCTGGAGGCTCCGGACTGGAGATGCCCGCTCTGGCTTCTCCTTGGGAGTGCTCGAGCCACCTGAGATGTCTAGGCGAGGGTTGGGGGACGCGCGAGCAAGCAGGCTGGGCGGGTGTGCAGTCAGCGGCTCGCACCCCGGAGCCTGACGTCACCTGTCAATCTCCCGCGGGCGCCGAGCTCGGAGCCGCCTTTCCTGCCACTCACTTGTGTCACTTGCCGCGGCGGCGCGGGCACAGCGACAGGCGTCCCGCGCTGGCCTCCTCGCCGGCCCCGGCCGCCTCCTGCAAGGCAGCTGCTCGGTGGGAGCGCAGCCCCGCGCCCCTCCGCGGAGCGCATGCCCAGCGTCTCCCCGAAGCCCTGACTCCCCAGGTGAGTGGCCCCGCTCCCCGGGATAACTTGGATGAGTGTGGGAAAGGGAAGGGTAAAGAACCGCTGGGTATTTGGGACTCTCCCGCGATCAGAGAACTGGAGCAAATCGGAGACACCCGGTCACCCCAGCCTGTTCATCCTTCCCCCCAGTGCCCCATTTCCGAGGTGGTGCCATAGGCTCCAAATTACTCCAGACAACCGCGATCACAAAGTTCGCTTTCAGCACCGCGGACAGCGACCCCGCCGCCCGGCTCCCGCAGGGGCTGGGCTGGCGTGTGCGGATTTTCCTCTGAATGCTGCCTTCCTACTTTGATGTATTTGGGTGCGTGTGCAAGGGCAGGTGTACCTCTGGGGCTCATCTGTGTGCCTATGAGTGCGTTTATCTGTGCGTGTGTTTGTGCAAACCTCCAGAAGTCCGTGCGGGCACTCACTCCGCTCAACAGGTGTTGATTTATTTCGGGTTCGCGGGTTAATACTCCTGCTTCCCCACTCTGCTCTGGGGTCCCGGGGATCTGGGATGCACGCTTGAAGTGGGATCATTCGAGCCGGGTCCCCGGTGGTTCCCGGAGCCCCACACCTGACGCGGCCTCTCTCCGTCTGTCTGTCTCTGCAGGGTGCAGCACCTGGCCGGGATGAACGCTAGCGCCGCGTCGCTCAACGAATCTCAGGTGGTGGCAGCAGCGGCCGAGGGAGCGGCAGCGGCGGCCACAGCAGCGGGGGCGCCGGACCCCGGCGAATGGGGCCCCCGCGCGGCGGCGGCGCTGGGGGGCGGCGGCGCGGCTAATGGGTCTCTGGAGCTGTCGTCCCAGCTGCCCGCCGGGCCGCCAGGACTGCTGCTGTCCGCGGTGAATCCGTGGGACGTGCTGCTGTGCGTGTCCGGGACGGTGATCGCCGGTGAGAACGCTCTGGTGGTGGCGCTCATCGCGTCCACCCCGGCGCTGCGCACGCCGATGTTCGTGCTCGTGGGGAGTCTGGCCACCGCCGACCTCCTGGCGGGCTGCGGCCTCATCCTTCACTTCGTGTTCCAGTACGTGGTGCCCTCCGAGACTGTGAGTCTGCTCACGGTGGGCTTCCTCGTGGCCTCCTTCGCCGCCTCGGTCAGCAGCCTGCTAGCCATCACGGTGGACCGTTACCTGTCCCTCTACAACGCGCTCACCTATTACTCGCGCCGGACCCTGTTGGGCGTGCACCTCCTGCTGGCTGCCACCTGGACGGTGTCCCTGGGCCTGGGGTTGCTGCCGGTGCTCGGCTGGAACTGCCTGGGCGCGCCCGCCTCCTGCAGCGTGGTGCGCCCGCTCACGCGCAGCCACGTGGCGCTGCTCTCCGCGGCCTTCTTCGTGGTCTTCGGCGTCATGCTGCACCTGTACGTCCGCATCTGCCAGGTGGTGTGGCGCCACGCGCACCAGATCGCGCTGCAGCAGCACTGCCTGGCGCCGCCCCACCTCGCCGCCACTAGAAAAGGCGTGGGAACTCTGGCGGTGGTGCTGGGCACTTTCGGGGTCAGCTGGCTGCCCTTTGCCATCTACTGCGTGGTAGGTAGCCAGGAGGACCCAGCCATCTACACCTATGCCACTCTGCTGCCTGCTACCTACAACTCCATGATCAACCCCATCATCTATGCCTTCCGCAATCAGGAGATCCAGCGCGCCTTGTGGCTCCTGTTCTGTGGCTGTTTCCAGTCCAAAGTGCCCTTCCGATCCAGGTCCCCCAGTGAGGTCTGAAGGGCTCCTTCTGTGTCCTCTCACCAACACCACATCTCCAACAAGCCAGCCTTTGGTGAGCTTCTCGGTGCCTGCTGATGAACTCAGGTCCCAGTGGTGTGAATCTGAAGCATGGGGGGGGGGGGGGGGGGAGAGGGAGGGATGGAAGAAGAAGGACTAAATATAAACGCAACAAACGCACAAGGACCAAGAGGCCTGTTGGCATTTTACATATACAGTGTATACATGTGTACATATATATACAAATATTTGTATCTTCTGGGGATGTTCAGGATGTGGAGCTTCCTGTTCTGTGAAAAACTAACAAAAAAAAAAGATGTGGTTGTATATTCAAATCATACATCACATTTGTGAAGACATTCCAATACTGCTTAATAATAGCACTTTATTTTTAGCTGCTGAACTGCCAAAACAGTGTTGCCATTTTCAAGGGCAGGGTAAAGGAGTAAAAGGTGTATTTTTTGTTGTTTGTGATAGAATATTTTGCTGTAATGCATCAAGTTGAAACATATTTTGTACACAAATAAATACATTATAAAAAAATAAAGTTTTTGGTATGTGATTGATGATAGAATTACTACGTAAGAACTGAGTTGTGAGTGCATTTTACTTCGAAAGTTGATTACATATCATCTTCCGCTTAGGAAATCTCTTAAAAAATATACATTTACGTATTATCCATAAATTTTTCCTGAAATACTAAATCTGGATCATGGGTCAGAGATAGGAAAGAAATGATCTATTCACATAAAGGTATTCACAGAGCTTTACTAAAGGGTAGACGTTATTGACACAGTTAATCCACTCCCTTGGTTACTGGGTTTGGAAGGCAAGTTTCAGAGGATGAAACTATTTCTTCATATTATCAAATGTGCACCATGAACCCAGAAGCCCACAACTTTTGGTTGTAGTCTTTTATGTATGGTAAGATGCTTAAATGTTGACTACTTACATGGACATAATATATTGTTACTCATCAGTCCTTAGAGTAAAATGAGCAGACGTATAAAATGAGCAAATTCCTCTAAGACAAGACCTCAAGATATATGCCTCATACTTCCATGAGGTTAATGCTATATATCCAACATCCCTCCTTGAGATATTTGTCTGCTACATATAGGCATTATGATCTTCAAGAGCAAAGCACTTCTATTCTACCAACAAGAGCCAGCCTTGATCTTCCCACACACCTTACAGGAAGGACATGATCTGAGCCCCTATGAAGAAATATGCTTGTAGTACATATTCTTGGGCCTTCAGAAAATATATATAAGCAGCTCCATGTGTAGATTTCACATTAACTGAGTGTTAACTGTATGCTAGACACAACCCTAGAGCTGGACATATGGAAATAAAGTAAACAGGAAAGTCTCTGTCCTCATGGTTTTTACATTCTAGTAGAGTGGCAGGCCCACAAGCAAATATATATATATATATAATATATATATATATTATATATATATATAAATATATATATATATAATACTCACATAAATATATATGTACATATATCTATATATACACATATACATATACAAAATGTGTATATATGTAATATTGTGTTAGAAAAATATCAAAAAGGAAAGCTAAGGAGGATGGGAGATGGCAAAGAACAGAGGTGCCCCATTGGTAGGGGTACTGGAGAAGTCTCTCTGCAGAGCTCAAATTTAGGAAGTAAGCTCAGCAAAGAGGGTATAGGACATATTAGGGCCTGGGAGAACTTTCCAGGCAGAGGGAGCAGCAAGTCCAAAGTCTTCAGAGGGGAGCATGCCTCACAAGTCCAAGGACTTTCTCTTGAGCAAAAATGGTAACTGCAGTGACTTGTCGTGAACTGGGGCTAGGGGCAGTTTATATTAGGAAGTGTGATGATTAACTTTCTGGTCAAACTTGATCCCGGCCTAGGGTATCCAGATACTTGGTCAAATAATCTAAATGCTTCCTGAAGGTAATTTAGATAAGATTAACATTTAAATGAGTGGAATTTAAGTAGATTGACCCTCATAATGTGGATGTGTCCCATGCACTTATTTCCTGCTTTAATAGAACAGAAACATTGCATCTGCAGCTCTAGCTCATTTTGGTTCTACAGCTGATGCTGTGGAACTAAAAACACGACATTGACTCCGTTAGGTCTCCAGCCTGCTGGCCTATCTCACAGATCCTGGATTTTCTGGTCTCTGGAATTAGACAAGCCACTTTTCCATAAGAAATTTCTGTATACACACACACACACACACACACACACACAGAATCTGTAGTTAGTTTTCCTCTCATAAATGGAAAGCTCACGTGGGCACTTCATTTGTGTATTTACTTCATAAACACTGCTATGCAGTTTGCCATTGCTTTAAGCACTTAACAAATTCAAACTCATTTAATCACCACAACAATCCGTAAATGAGGAGAGTTTAATAATTATAAAAGTGTGAGCATTATTAATGGAATCTGAAAGGAGATAGTAAATCCCCTGGTCTACGGTTACACCAGAAGCGGAAGGTCCTGGAACCATGGGAGAAGGCTGCAAGTACTGGCTGTCCAGCAGGAGTTGGGGATCTTGGGAGAGAAAAGCAGCATTGCCAAAAGTGGCCTGATACGGAGAGAGCTGAAAGAATAAACTACTGGACTAGCACTTCCTACTTCTAGCCTACCTCCTGATGGTGACTTTCATTAATTAAATTCAACCAGAAGCAAGAGAGCAAGTAAACTCTTTGTAAATTATATTTTATTATACTTAACTGGTTGTACAAAGGAGTTACTATAAAATAAGTAAGTTTATTAGTTCAATGGATCTTGATCCATGCCACCCTGTTCATCATTGAGCAAGACAACTCTTAAATATTTGTGTGTGTGTGTGTGTGTATTATTGTAAAGGTGATATACAGCAGGGTTACAGTTACACAAGCCAGTACATTTCCTTTTTGACAGTGTCACCCCTTCCCTGTCTGTCTCCCAGTGTTTCCCTCCCATCCCCACCCACAAGTTGTATAGTACATTTTCAACATAGTGACTAGTGAGTACCACTGTTGTATTTGCTCACTCCCTGTCCCACCCTTTCTGTGCCCCTTTTTACCCTCCTCCAAACAGATAAACTTACAAACTAGACAAAAGGTACAGAAAACAAAAACCAAAACAAAGAAAAAAACCTTGTTTCCATTTCTTAGAGTGCATTTCAACAAATAGTATTTTATATGATCATATGCACATTGCTATTGAGCTTGTGTGACCCTCTCCTAAGAATATTCTCCTTTGGTCTCACTGTGCGAATAGCAAGGCAACTAACTCTAGATGAAGAGTATACACATCACTTTCCCTGAGCACCAAACAGATGTAAAATGGTAAAAAGCAGATCTACTAACCCAAACAGAGAACATTTGACATGGATGCTATGAATGATGTTATAGAAGAGAAAACGGAGGCACAGAGAGATTAGCTTTATGTATCTGGAGTTCAGGAGAAAGGAACCTAAGCTAACAGATAAACGGGATTTACTAACATACAGATGGTATTCAAAACAGAATATAGATGGGGGTCATCTTAGGAGTACCTGCGGACACAGAAGAAGGTCAAGGATTAATTTTACTGCTCAGAACTCAAAAAGACAAGGAGAAAGAAAAATGGTTGGAGAAAAAGGGAAAGAAAAGAAAAGAAAAAAGGGAAGAAACCAAGAGAGCACAGTGACCCAAAGGAAAGAAGAAACAAATGTTTGGAGAAGAAGTAGTTATCTAGTCCCATATTGTGGGGAAAATAAGTAAAATGAGGACTTAAAAATAGAGATTTCATAATGTCAATGTCACTGACAAGAACAAGAGATGTTCCAGAAAAGGGAGAGGGAAAATGCACCTGACTGTAGAAGGTACAAGAGAAAATGCTTGAGCAACCTCGTCCCCAGCAGTTCCCAGCAGAAATGTGACCTTTTCAACATTGTAAAACCCAGTACACTTTATAGATGTAGAGTTTTACAGGGTATAAATTCAGAGCTGGGAATATCATCAAGTGAAAAGTTTCTAGCCGGGCATTGGTGGCTCACACCTATAATCCTGGCTACTCGGGAGGCTGAGATCTGAGGATCTCGGTTCAAAGCCAGCCCAGGTAGGAAAGTCCAAGATACTCTTATAAACCACTCCGAAAACTGGAAGTGGCGCTGTGCCTCAAGTGGTAGAGTGCTCTCCTTGAGCTGAAGAGCTGAGGGACAGCACCCACACCCAGAGTTCAAGCCCCACGACCCACCAGAAACAAACAAACAAAAAAAAAAAACCTTTCTAGAAAACTAACCTTTATGGACTCTTCAGCACCATTAGAGGTTGTTTGAAGTCCTATTTGTATGTAGGATGCAATCAGGCATACAGAAGCTCAGGCCATCAACTTTCTGAATACAATGGGGAAAACTATTTCAGAGTTGAACAAAAGTCAATATGATACACTTTGTAATTATAAAGAAAAATTTACTGGGCCAGTCAACTAAAACAAGAACTACCAATCAGCTTGTTCATAACTCTTAGTTACAATATTAGACAATGTGTGTAATGCTGATAGGCTTAATATTGACTAATCTGTGATGTGATCTTGAAATATTTCTATAGAGAAATGTCACATATTCATTTAAACAAATATGAATTAAGAATCTCCTATTGTGAAAACCTATGTGAGTTGCTGGAAACATAGTCTTTGGGAAAGATAAACTTCATGCAGATATCTAACTACGCTACCTATTCTGTTGTCTAGTAAGCATCCTACATTTAACAAATTTAAAATTGAGTCACTGATTTTCATCTCTAACACTATTATTTATTCCTTATTTCCTATTTAACAATGTCAATGTGATCTTTCCAATTGTGCAAGCCAGAATGCTTTGAATCACACTTAACCCTTTTCTCTCGTATGGTGTCAGGAAAGCCCATTGTCTTTATCTTCAGAAATATACCCAGACCCCAGCCACTTTTTCCCCTAGGTACCATCACTATCTTCACTCTGCTAGAATTACTGCAGTAGTACTGCAGTACCGATTCAGCTCACGAGTCTTCAGTCTGTCTACACACAGCTTAAAGCTGGGCATGACCTACCGGAACTGCACTATAGGCCATAGAATAGTCCTTGATAAGAATTTCTTAACAGAGAATCACTAAAGTCTTTTCTAGAGGACCTGGTACCTGGTCTAGAAGTGAGGAATATGGAGCAAGACATGAGGCCCTACTTGTCCTAGTGTATTAGATTCTTATTGCTGCTATAACAAATTATAACAAACTTGATAATGTGCTTAAATGTGTGCATTGCTTTTTTCCTTCCTCCCCCACCCACATACTGCATAGTTCATTTTCAACAAAGTATCTAGTGAGTACCACTGCTGCATTTGTCCACCCTTTGTCTCACTATTTCTGTGTTCCCTGGTATCCTCCTCAAAACAGATAAACTTACATAAAAGATAAAAGATATGGAAATAAAAAACAGCAATAAAGGAGAAAACAAATGAACAAAACCTAAAAGCAAAGTAACAAAAAACCTCGTTTCCATTTCTTGGGTTACAGTGATGATAAATCATTTTAAATGATCATATGTACAAAACTACTGAGCATTTGTGATCCTCCCCTAAGAATATCCTCCTTGGTCTATTGTGTGAATGTTTATGGTCCTGTGTAATTTATAATGTCTAAGTGTCAATTTTTTAAACTATTCAGTGTGTTTACTTGTAGATTTATAGACACATTCTATTAAGCACAAATGAGGGAAACCACGCAACCCATGTTTCTTTAGTTCTGACTTCTTCACTTAATATAATTTTTCATGTCTTTTTCATTTCCTTACAAATGTTGCAATATCATTCTTTCAAATGGAAGCATAGAAATTCCATTGTGTATATATGTCACATTTTCTTTATCTATTCATACAGCAAGAGGCATCTGGGTTTATTACATATCTTGGCTATGGTAGACAATGCTTCAATGAACTATGGAATAATGAAAGACCCCAAATAGCAAAAACAATCCTTAGCAGGAAGAACAATATTGGAAGAATATCAATACCAAACTTCCAACTCTATTACAAAGTCATAGTAATAAAACAGCTTGGTACTGGCACAAGAGTAGACCTAAGGACTAATGAAATATAATAGAAGACCCATAAATGAACCTGCAGACCTATAACCACATAATATTTGATAAGGGTGCCAAAAACATAGGATGGAAGAAAGACAGGTTCTTCAATAAATGGTGCTGGCAGAACTGTCTATATACATACAGGAAACTGAAGCTAGAACCTTATATATCACCCTGCACCAGAATCAATTCCAAATGGATCAAAGACCTCAATGTAAAGCCAGATACCAGGAAAATATGACAGGAAGGGGTAGGGGAAACCCTGGGGCTCCCAGGCACAGGTGGAAACTTCCTAAGTAAAGATCCAGAATTATAACAAATCAAAGAAAGACTGGATAAATGTAATTGCACCAAATTGACTTTTTTTTTGAGACAGAGTATTTCTACATAGCTGAGACTGACCTGGGACTTACTATATAGCCCAGGCTGGCCTAGAAGTTGTGATCCTTCTGCCTGAGCCTCCCAAGCGTGGTCATTACAGGCATGTACAACCACATCTTGGCTTTGCTTTATCTTTTAAAGGCAACCAAGGACTAAATACATTGTTAGAATAAGGAAAGAGTACAGATCATTGGAAAGTCTGAAGCTAAGAGAGAGGAAAAGATAGATGAGGCTTTCCAGGAGGAGGTTGGGCTCCTGGAGTAGGTGGGGACACAAATCCTCTGCTCTGACAGGAGGCAAGGTGGGAATAATTGGTATGGATACATCTAAGTTTATAGTGGTGGGAGGAAGTTCATAGAGTTCCTACTTGACAACTTCAATTTATCTGAAGGAGGAATGCCAGTTAAGAGACAATTATAAGAAGCATCAAGAACTGAGTCGACATAACGACTTGTACATCTCATTGTTGCAATGGGTCCACCTGTATTCCAATTTAAACAATTTGTATTTTCCCTTCCTCTCCACAAATTATACCAACATCAAATACAGTGAAAGCAGGGGTTATACCGTGGGGGGAGGGACATACAAAGCAACAAAGAAATCATCTTATAAATATGTTAGAAACAATCGCATGAAAGGAGACATACAAAGCAACAAAGAAATCATCTTATAAATATGTTAGAAACAATCGCATGAAAGAAAACACATTTGAATGCTTATCTTTGGGTTCATTTCACCTAAAATCAACTTATCTGACCTTTTCTGCTTGACTCAGACATATACCAGTTATTGCAAATAAGGGAAACCATAGAACCTATGTTTCTTAGGGCCTTGCTTACTTGGGGGAGGGGAGGAAGATGGGAAGGGATGAGAAGGGAAAACAAAGGAGGAGGCAACAATGCTTGATAAGAAATGTACTCATTATCTTGCCCATGTAATTGTAACCCCTCTATATGGTATTTTCACAATAAAAAAGAAAAAAAAAATAAAATGCATTAATATTTTTAATATATTTTAAAAAAGAATTGAGTCCATGATATTGGGAACAAAGCTGTTATAGTTTGTGGTGTTACCATCCTTTAATCAAAATTCAAAGTCAGACCATACCAAGCATTGCAAGGATGTCAAGCAGAATTCTTACAGACAGATGGTCAGAATGCAAAATGATATAAACATATTGGAAAATATACTAGTGATTTCTTTAAAAACTAAAAATGTTCCCACCATAAACCCAATCATTCTATTTCTAAGTATTTCACCAAGGAAAATGATAGAATGTGTCCATCAAAAGACTCTCACAGGACTGGTTATAGCTTTATTTGTAATAGTCAAAAGCTGTGTATGATACAATATCCACCAACAGATGAATAAATAAACAGATTGTGGCACATCTATATGACAGAATGCTACTCAGAAATCAAAAGGAATGAGCTATTCATATGCGCAGTAACCTGGAGGAAATCCAAGTAATGATGCTGTGTGGACGAAGCTAGGGGGGAAAAAAGAAAACATAATGTAAATTTTATTTGTATAAAATTCTTGAAGATGTATACTAACCAAAAGCAGATTGATGGTTGGAATTAGGGGTACAGGAATGAGAAGGGATAAAGGGCATAAGACAAACGAAATGCAAATCAAGACACCACTGGGATTCCATCTCACCCCAGTAAGAATGGCCATCATAAAGAATACCAACAGCAACAAAGGCTGGTGAGGATGCGGGGGGGGGGGGGGGGGAGAGAAGGAAACCCTACTACACAGTTGGTGGGAATGTAAATTAGTGCAACTACTATGGAAGACAGTTCAGAGATTCCTCAAAAAACTAAACATAGACCTACCCTATAATCTAGGTATATCATTCTTGAGAGCATTTATCTAAAAGACTACAACCAGGTTACGGATGCAGATGCCCTACAATGCCCTGTGTGAATTTTACGTATGCATCAGGAAGAATACTATTGTGTCATTTGCAGAGAAATGGATGAACTTGAAAAAAATATGTTAAATGAAGTAAGTCAGGCTCAGAGCCAGAAGATGCATATTTTCTCTCATATGTGGAAGTTGCATCTAAATTATAAACATCTCTGAAAAGGTATACAGGGTCATATACATATATGTAGAAACAAATTGACTACAGTATGGCATGTGCAGAGGAAGATTCCAAAAGGGCAACTCCTTGGAACAATTAACTTACAGTTACCAGAAAGCTGGAATATGTGTTGTCAGGAGGGGGTATGTGAAGAAAGATGAAAGGAGAGGGAAATGGTGACTAAAAGAGATTGGGGAGAAAGATGGAAGGGCTGATACTGCTCTTGATACATTTCACTTAGAAAAAACATGTTGAATTAAAACCCCTATATATGACTACTTCAAGATAACAAAGAAAAGAAAAAAGGGAAAAGATAGAAGGGAAATGTCAAAATGATGGGTGTTGTCATTATCTTAATTGTAATGATTGTTTCATTGATGTATACAATTGTATACTTTAAATATATATTGTTTGTTTTATATTAATTGTACCACAATAAATTTGTAATAAACTAAAGGTCAGAAGGAACCATAGTACAATGACAGATAACTTGATAATATTAAATGAAAATGTAAAGTTAATTTAACCTGGTTTATTAGTCAGATAATGTAGTCAAATACTCTCAAATTCATCCATCTGTTGTCCACGTAAAGATGGAATGAGTAGAATGATGGAGAGAGACAGATAACAGCACCTTAGAGTGTAGGAAGGTTGTTAAGATTAAGTTCAGTTATGCTTTATAACAAACAACCTCTCAACTACAATGGCTTCATAAAGATTTCTCATTTATATAGTATTTGCAGCGATACTTGGCAGTTTCCCAAAACAACTCTTCTCTATGCTGAGGCTTTCTCTATAATTTGATGGGCCTTAGGCCACAAATTTAACACTTTTTTCACTTACAGCTCAGCAGGCAGAACCAGTGACCTGGCTTTGCCTGATTACAAAGTTAAATTTCAGAAAGTGAATGGGTTTGAGATGTGTCCACAACGTGTTTGCAACCCAAAATAAACATCAAGTCACAGACAGAGAAGAGATTCTGAAGATCCAAACTCAACATTTCAAATATTATTGAAGACTAAACAGACAGATATGATCCTTTAATAAAATGTATGTAATGGGGTGTTCAATAAGTTAGTCGAATACAGTATGTAATGTCAAGAATTAAAGTAATCAGGTAATTGTAACCCCTCTGTACAGTATTTTCACAATAGAAAAAAATTTAAAAAAGAAAGTAAGTACACAGAAAGTGCTATTCAAGAGTCATACTTAGTCTCTGATCATCTAGGAGGTAGGAATTATCAAACTTTAGCACAAATCCTTGTCTAAATCAGTATCGTTGGACATGTTGCTGAGATTTGGGGGATGCGTAGATTGAAGGAGACGGTGCAAGTGGGTGGTGGTGGACAGAAGATCCACAAATATCTTAATTCCATCAGGCATATTAAGTCCTTTAGAGAATAGTAATGAGCAGTATCAACATCAGTAATTGTTGAAGGTGGAGAGGGAAGAAAGATGTTTGCTCTGTTGGTAATCTGTGGCTTTAGAGATATAACCCAAATGCCGAGCATTTTTTGGAAACAGAGCCAGGCCACTTAATAGTCCTTTTTTTTTTCTTTTTGCAAAGAATGTCTAAAGACCTTAGTCCCAAAGTCAACTTGCTTGGCTCATTTTAAGCCCTCAATATTTAGCCTCAAATCTTATCATCATGCTTTCAAGATAAGCCATACCAACTTTCAACTTGCTAATGTGAAAAGAAAAAAATTAAAATAATGAGAGGAGGTGTGGTAGGCAAAAAGGGATACAGATAGACAGATAGAACAGATAGGCTTACAGGCTAGTGAATTCAAACCTAACTTCTCCCAGAAGAGAAGAGTCAAGAGAAATTGATGCTGTCTCAGTGGACCAGAGCTCTTCCCCTCCACTCCAGCCAGGAGGAAGGTAGGAAGCAGTTAGAAACGTCCTAGGTGCATCTCAGATCTCCTGCCATTTAAGGATGGAGTAAACAGGAAGCTGGGAAACAAGGAGAAGCACACATTACAGTGTGCTGAGGTTGTTGTGAGAATTATGTAAGTTAATAAAGTTAGATTCATGCCTGGCACCTAGTAGCCATTGCTTTAACTGCAATTATGATTGCTACTAATCACATTGATGAATGCTAAATTTCACAATCTAGATTTTTATATTCTGGTGTATTTTGCTTTTCACATTTCTAATGTACTTATAAAATATTTTATCATACATTCACTTGGACCACTTGTTGAAGACTGTTACTTTCAGTAACCTGCAAATCTCAAAAATTGCCACTCCCATAGGTTTAGCTGCTACTCCAAAAGTAACAATTTTTGACTGCTAAGATGTATCTTCAAAACAGCAATCCAAATCAATACTATGAGAATTGTTCCAATGAATCGAGATGGAGGTTTATGTATTTTCAATAATATACTTGTTTTTGTTTTTCAAATCAAATGTTTATATTTAGAAATGTCTGGAGAGAATCAATAATTATATCATTTCTAATTCCTCATAATCATACTCTTTTACAGAGAAACAAACAAAAACTACCAGCAAACATACACACTTTCTCTCTTTCTGCATCTTTTCCCCTAACACACACACACACACACACACACACACACACACACACACACACACACACACACACACACACACACACACACACACCATGTATCTGGCCCACTCATTGGGAGGATATAGTGACCCATTTGTGATTTGTGTTCAAGGATCCTTTGCAAGACTCTCCCCTGGGAAAGTGTGAAGCGGCAGGAAAGGCAGTTGTGGATTAAACATGCTCCAGAGGGATACATAATCAGCAAGGTTGACTTGCCTAGCTCAAGTATTGGCTGGATGAACACATTTGAATATTGATGTGCATAATGGAAGAAAGGGAAATGAAGGACTTACAGACGCTAAGAAAATACTCTGAGTTCAATCACTTCCCAGCCTCTGAATGTTTCTTGTGCAAGTCAGAGCTGTGCCCTGAAAGTCTCCCCGGTGTGTCACCTTAACAGTGATTAAAACCACGTGTGGTTGGGTGCTACTGTAATATTGAAGTAAGATTTGTGTTAAAATAGAATTCCTCTTGGGTTTTTAAATTTCTGGTATTAATAGGAACACACAGTAAATAAAGCATGAAAGAGCATTCTTTCCCTTATTGAAAGGGTGTTAATTTCCTGTTTTTGTAAATCTTGTACACAAAGGTAATTATGAAAATGATGGCAGAGGGTACTGACAGCTAAATCATTTGTTTTTGTACATATTGATAAACCTCATTCCCACCACTGTGGATGAGAGTCTATTTTATTACTGAAACAGCTGACTGCTGATTACCTTATCTTCTGTTGCTGAGGTATTTAATCCATGTGTGACAGATGTTACTGGAGAGACTGGGACTGAAGCAGCAGAACTTTCCATATCATGTAGAGTGCACGTGAAAGCCACCTCACCTGGGATTGGAGATGACACATAACTCCGAGGAGCCTGTGGCTATTTGTGGTCATCCTTGTGCAGCTTCATCTCCTGGGAGTTTGGGCTGTGGCAACAGAAAGGGTGAGGGTTGGGGAACATTTTAGAGGACATCTCAGGCAACTCCCCTGGGTTTCAGTGCCTGGACCTCAGAGAAAGTGGGTCACTTGTTGAAGACTGTACTGCTTGTAAATGAGGAAGACAGACCTAGAACTCAGTTTAGTTCCTGGCTTGTCATCCCCATCACAAGAGATGCTCAGCATGCTGCCAGCCATACAGGCTCAAGAATACCCTGATCTCTATTCAGAGCCTCTGTCTGCCCTCACTCTGCTCTCACATAAGTCCCTTCCTTCTATTCCAGGAAAGTACCTGAACCAGGACTCCACCACTGGCCCTGAGACCTGATTGAGCTCTCTAAGTGTTATTGAACATAGACACCCAAGCCTAATGTGGAGCAGGGAGGGTACTGCTAGCACTGTTTAGTCTGGCATTCTCTCTTTAGGATTACAAACCCAAAGCTCTGAGTGCAGAGTGGAATCCCTTGGCTTTCCAGAGTGCTGGCTCTTAAGTATAATGAGAGGATAGAAGGGCAATCCCTGGCTACTTATGATTCTCTCCTAGCTCAAATTTTGGATGACTTCTTTCTACAAGAGGCTCCAAGACAGAACACCACCACCAAGGAATCAATCTGGTGGTAGCTTCCAGCTTCACAAAAGGCTGACAGTCTTTGGCTAAGTATTCAGGAAGCTGGTAGGTAAATCAAGTCACACTATAGCCAAACACTTTGAACCAGAAGTTCAGTCCAGGTCCCAGACTGTGTTCTTTCAATAATTGGAACAGTATCTTCAACAACAAAATCGTGCATTTGGCTATCTTAGGGACTTTAAATAGAGATTTTAACCCATAAGTCAAACAGTTCTCTACTTTCTTCAATTGAGTTAAATGAAGATTTAATGAGTTTAAAGTAAAAACTCATTCTATTTAAAATATTATTAGAAAATACAAATATTTATCAAGATCTTTCTAAGCTTCAAAGAAAAACGCGAAATGACAGTTACATAAGAAATTAAGGTATATGTGCCAAAACAAATCCTACTCTAGCAAAATTTGAAGACAAAGAACATATTAGGGAAACATTTTAAATATTAGTTGAAATTACTTTTCTTTTTTCTTTTTCTTTTTGTAAGTCATGGGGCTTGAACTCTGGGCCTGGATGCTGTCCCTGAGCTCTTTAGCTCAAGACAAGCACCGTACCACTTGAGCCACAGGGCCACTTCCTGTTTTCTGGTGGTTAATTGAAGATAAGAGTCTCATGGATTTTCTTGTCTGGGCTGGCTTTGAACCATGATCCTCTGATCTCTGCCTCCTGAGTAGCTAGGATTACAGGTATGAGCCATCAGTGTCCGGCTGAGGTTACTACTCAGTTACCTAAAGCTCCAGATAGCAAGAAATCTTTTCCCCTGAGATTCCAGAAGTGCACAAAACCCAGTATGAC